ATCAGAATATTAAGGCGCTAGTTCTGAGAAACCAGGCCTTGAGCTAACAAACCAGTATTTTGTTGGCGTCAGCAGGACATTGTCGTCCCGCTGACGCCCAGATAAGGCGCTTGTCCTAAGAAACCAGACCTTTAGTCTGGATAGTAATAATCTTTCTTTATCACTGATATACATGAACAACATTTTTAAAAGTTTCATTACCACCCTTATACACTTTTTATCTCCTTTTGTTTTATAGTCTATTTTGAAATATATAATAATGTACATGCACCTCTCCTTTCATAATTCCTTACAGAAATTTTTAAAAAAAGCTTCCTACAATGAAATTAAACTTATAAAAACAATCACACTCTAAAGAATATACAGGGTTATTCATAATTCCCTCCGGGGTTTCGAAGCGTTATAGCAAAAAAAAGAAAGAAACACGTCCGAAACTATTCAAGTTTTACTTACATACATTATAGGTGTTCTATGTGTGAACCCTTGGTCACGCGGCATACATCAATGTGACAGTCCAGTTCCTACCCAGAGGGAATTATGAATAACCCTGTATTTATTTATTGATTAAAAATTTTCTAATTTTATTTTTAAAAAATTCAGTTTGTTTAATGTAATGATTTGAAAAAATTCCTTTTGATTTTTATTGTGCCTGTATCAAAATAGTGGAAAATGGGCCTCCTGCATGGACTGTCTATAGAATGTTGAATCAAAATACCTGTTAGCAAAAGATTAACTATTATTTCATGTTAAACAATTATTGACGCCAGGTGGTTTAGTTGTGGTGCTTCATGCTCCTGTGCCACAGGTCTGAGGTTCTATCTTCGAACCTTGCAAGGTTGACTCAATCTTTCATCCCTTCAGTGAGTCCATAAAATTAGTTCCAAGCACGCTTGGGGACTAAGCACTAGGGGTACCGCTTTTGGTTGACCACTCAATTAGCACATCTGCTCCAGTGCCCAAGTTCAAGGAAACTAGGATGAGCTTGGGCTGTTATGCCACTTAATTTAGTGTTTTTAGTATAACTAGTACTTGACAACTATTTGACCCAAAATTGCTACATTTGGTGTAATTGTGTGTGAATTCCAATTGTTTGCAACCAGAAGTTAAAGGAAATTGAGCTTAGAAAGTTGAGAAATGTTGGGATATATTTAAATAACAAAAAAATTTTTGCTTGAATAAAACACTAGCATTTAAATTTTTAAGTTGGAGTTTTTGTAGATTTATCTAAGATCTACTATATTTCCTTTTCTTTTTAAAAGTATATTTCTAAATTATTAAAATTTGATTATGATATTTATATATCGTAGTATTGTTTTAAAATGAATACCGACTATTAAAAGGAAAAAAAAAAGTTTAATGTACTTTTGAAGTGCGTAGTAAAGAATATATATTTTTTTCCTTCTATTTTCATAAAACTATGAGAAATTCACTCAAATGATCCTTTACAATGAAGTTTTTTTTTTTACATTACTACTTTTTTTTCTCTTCAAAGTTTTAAAATTTTCACTAATGTCTAATATCATCACATTAACTTTTTGTCAACCATAAAGAGTAATAATTTTTAAAACAATGTTTAAAAGATTATATATTTTTCTTTAACTTTTCAAAATGACTACACAATTTTTAACAAATAAATTGCAATTAAAAATTTTATCACATGTTTCTTGGATCGAATGTTGTAAATAGTAATCAATATTACATTCTATTCACTCTTTCCTAAGTGCACTTGGAATGTATAAAAGAGTTACCTATCATTTATAAATAAGAGAGAATGCTAAGAACTTTACGAACCTTTTTACTCCAGTTTCAGCACATTTTTCTATTCATTATAATCTGAATTATTGAAAAAGGGAAAAAAATTGTACTGAAAATATTAATTTTGTGTTTGAATAAATTTTTTTTCCTTTGAATTTTATATATTTTTTCGAAATATTTATGCTATTCTTGTGATCAAATTTTCTGTGATTATTATTATTTATTTATTGCTTTGTGGTAACATTAGTTGGTTGTTTTATTTTTTTTATTATTTCAATAGAATGCAACGCAAGTGTGCATTTTTATGAAATCTTAGTGTGTCTTTTGATATGTCATTGTATTTAATCCGGAATTGAATTTTTGTTTGTGTTATATTTTTTATTATATTTTGTTTTGAGAGTATTGCAATTTCAAATGAAGAAGAAAAAAAAGACGAAGAAATGAATAATTTGTATTTGAAAAAAGATTTTGTAGTAAATAAAATGTTTTTCCTGTGATAGGAATTTTTTCTTTAATCAGTTTTAGTTCATATAATGGTTTCTGCGTGTAGTTTTATTTAGCTCCCATTTTCAAACTTTTAATGTGTGCTATTTTTCCCATGCATTGGCATGGAAAATTTAGTGTAAATAATCCCAATTAACATTTTAAAACAGAAATTTGTGAAACAACACATAATTTGGTGAAATTTTTTATTATAGGATTCACACTGGTTAGGGGGTGCAACGAAAGCTTAAAACTGCCTGGAAATTTGATTTTTACTCTGAAAGTCAGGTGAAATTGCACTAAGGATCAACCCTAGATTTGTCCTGAACGAAAATCAGCTGTTGAGATAAATTCAAGTAAAGAAAAAAATTTTTTGACATCTATTAAAATTATTTCTAATAAACACTCTACATTTCAATAAAATTTTTATATACCTTCATTTAGTGATATTTTGTTCCTGATAAAATTTAATTTTGAACACATCAAACAAAAAAAAATCTGTTTTTCTCATAGAAAATTAGTTAATAAATAAAATATAAAATGTAGGAACATTGTCTAGAACTATGTTGATTTTTTTTTCTGAAATAATTGGAAAAATCAAATTTTATTTTTTGAAATTAAGCACGTGGGGACATTGTTATTACTTCTATAATTTGTTCAAATATTCATATAAGTTTGTGTGCCANCCCCCCCAAAAAAAAAAAAATTAATATTTTGCAATAAAAAACATNCAGGATAAATGTGACTCCTTATTTGCATTACAATTTAAATTAAAATCAAATAATATTGAATATTTTAAGTGTTTGGTTGCTCACAAGCAACAATGAATGGTTTTTTTTTTAGCAAAAAGAGAAAGGGGCGATATGTTTCAATCAACCCCAAGAGNGGGGGGCGATGGTCCACAAAAGGTTGGGAACCACTGGTCTAGAACTATGTTGATTTTTTTTTCTTCTGAAATAATTGGAAAAATCAAATTTTATTTTTGAAATTAAGCACGTGGGGACATTGTTATTACTTCTATAATTTGTTCAAATATTCATATTAGTTTGTGTGCCAGTACATAGAACCCCCCCCCCAAAAAAAAAAAAAATTTAATTATTTTGCAATAAAAAACATCCATAAATGAACCTGAAATATGAATGATCATTAAAATTGTTAGTAACCATAAACAGCAAATGAGGTTCTATATTAATATTTTTTTAACGATTTCTTCTAGAAATTCCGCTAAAACTTAGTTAAATTTATTGTTTAATGCAGGTTTACGCAAAAATAAATAAAAATTTCTTTTTTTTAATATTTTTTTTAGATGCAACCATGTTTGTAGATTTGCAATACCATTCACTCACTTAGCTTGTTAAAATTGAGTTTACAATTAAATTTTTTTTGTTATTGTATTACTTATCATTTTTATCATCGAATGCTTTATCATTTATGTACCTATATATTATAAAATGCATAAGTTAATTTCCAATGTATTCTGTTTCTAACAGAATATAATATATAGAATATTTTTCTTCTCAAACATGCTTCACTTCAAGTTGAATTTGTGGGGAGAGGAGTTATCAACTATGCCATCCTTCATATATCAATAGGTACCTCGAAATAAAATCAGCTAAACACGTCTTATATACTAGTGAATTGGAATAGATTATAGTAGTGGTAGTTACACTACATTACTCCCCCACCAGAAGTTTATCTGGGTTAGAATGGATATCACTAGTTGATTCATTGTCAATTTTTTGCAAAAGACTGGGAGAGCTGTGTTCACCGGGTTTTTTAATGCTGGTTGGTTGTGAGAGCTGTATTAAGTTCACAGTTGTGTACATGGTCGCTCCTGTGTTGCTAGTATTAGCAGTCTAGTGTGTACGAGATCCATTGGTGTGTGATCAAGATTGAGTAGTAACAATGCAAGGAGAACAATATCGCCCTCACAAATAGCAGGTCAAATGTTCAATGTGTAACATCCAGATCACGTCCAAAAGTCACCAATGTGGGGGAGAGGAGTTATAAACAATCGTCTGTCTAAAGGTACCTCAAGATAGAATCGAGTTAGCACGTCTTATATACTAGTGAATTGGAATAGATTATATAGTAGTGGTAGTTAGACTACAAATTTGAAGGGGAAAAAAAGTGTTTAGATATGTTCTCAGGGTTTAAGTTTCTGTGACTTAAAATTGTTTAGGACAGGACAGATGAGATCACCTTTCTCAACCTGCCCGAAAGTGTAGTAAAAATTCAAAAACCTATCATTCTGAAAATAATTTTAAAAAAAGTTCCAATTGTACTGTGGGGGGTGGAGTAATCGACCATGTCAACCTTCATGTCCGTCTACTGAGCTGGGTTCGGTGAGATTGTTGCACTCTCATGTGCAACTCTGCTGCATTCTCAATTTCGGGCTTCTTTTTTCACCCTCTGATATCGAACCGAAAAATCTCTTGGAACATTTTATAATGGCTAATATAATCAAGAAAATAGTTCTTTGTCAGAAATTATTTATTTTATCATGATCATGTAAAGTCTTTGAAAATTATTTTGCATTTTGTTATTGTATATAGTGCTTAAAAGTATTTTGGAGTGCTTAAAAAATCCTTAAAAGGTGCTTATTTTTTGTTGAAAGATTTGGCTAAGCACCCTGTATTTATTTACTACTTTCTTTTAGTTTGCCCTTTTAACTGATTGTAGAACTTGCTTTGGTTTTTTTTTTTTAATTGGAAGAGTTATTTGTTAAAAAAATAATTTTACTCAATAATTATGCCAACATATTTCAGAAATGATGTATAATTTTATTGCAATATTACATACATACACATATTTTCAAACTATGAACTACAAAAGAAGTTAATGATATATTTCATAACAACAATTCATAAATGTGATAATGCAACTATACAATTTTAACAGTTTTTGTAGGTTCAATTTTAAAATCATTAGATTGATTCTGGCAGATTGTCAATGCTATCATAAAAAGCATTTTAAAGAGATAATTTTGTTTATGAAATTTTGTATTCTAAATTTTGATCAAGATTTAAACAATCCATTGTACTTCAATAGCTTTAATGTAATGCATTATTAAAATTGCAAATATCAATTATTGTATATATATATATATATTTATTTATATACTTACAGTAAGCTCATTTTTTTCAGCTTGTGCTTAAACCCAGTTAAACATCAAAATTTGTAATAAACCATAATAATTTTGTCATTTTTTTTTTTAAAAATCACATAACAATATTTTACAAATCGTGCACTTGAAAGAAATATGCATTTACAATTAAATTGGTCCAGCCAATTGGAGTCACTAGAATATATTGAGTTGGCACAAATAATTTAACATATAAATAAGTACAAAGCAGATGCTAAATGTGCGCTAGCAACAATTAATGAAAACATAGATGTTTCACAGGCAAAAGTATTAAAAAACAATCGCTCTTAATCAAATAAAATTTTCTCTCTTCCTGTCTGGATGCGTTGTTTGATAAGCTCATATCTGTAAGGCTCCCTATAATATATGTCAGTTAAGTTAAATGTGGGTGCGCAATCATAGACAAATTGAGAGTATACTCTTTATTTCTCACAATTGCAATCTATTTCACAATAATTGTTGAAAAAATCCCATTTGTTTAACCTGTCTTGTTATATTAATGTATCTTTTTTCTCTTCCACAACTAAAATGGGTGCAACGTAATAACTTTCCAAAAGCACATTTATTTGAAGAATATTAACTGCCAAATTAAGAGATCTGACTAAAATCTTTTAAAAAGATTTTAGTTAATAAACAGATTCAACTAAACTGTTTAGTGTATTAAACGTTAAAAATACTATTGAAACAGAACATGAGGATGAATTTTAAAAATTCACAAATCCTTCATACCTAATTCCGAATTTAGGAAATTTCCCTCTTACCAAAAAAAGAAAACGAGAGAAGAGCAGCAAATATTTAACAGGTCGAAGAGAATCATATTGATCATTTTATTTTTTAAGTAGATTAGTTAACAAATTTTTTAAGTTTGTAGTTATATGATTTTACAATTTTGTAGTATTGGGCAACATTTAACAAAATATGAGAGTTTAGCTTAACTCATAAACCGTTGGTTTCATATACTAAGAAAAATGCAATCCTTTTAATATTAGGAAATCAACAATATTGATTGCATAAAAGAGAATAAATATGTCTTGAGAATAGGAAATTTAAATAGATCTAGACTTGACCATCACTGAATCCTAAACAATCTGCACCATTTGCTTGCCTATAATTTTATATAAAGAATTTTTTAGCTTTAAGAAGGTACTTGTTTTCAAATATGAGCATATTCACAGCACCAGAGTTGAGCACTTCTAATCTTAGTTGACATAATTTGTTACATAGAATCTGAATGTTTCACCACAGCGGTGATTTATTCTCTGCTCTTTTAGGTGGGGGTGGAGGTGGATGTTTTTTAGAATGCTTTGCTTCTGCTTTGGGTTTTTCAGCACCAGACTTAGACTGAGAATTAGACCTCCTGTGGTTTTTATCTGCGTGTGTCGGTAAAGGAGGGGGTGAAGAAGGTGACCTCTGTAAAGGACGAATTTCTTCGGGCATGGGCAGACAATTTGGATCCCTAAATCCTAAAATTTGGTGAGGTGCTTCTGAGTTGTCGGAAGATAATTGCTGCGCAACTTTCCATTTTTTGACCATTACTTTTTGAAGGTTACGCAGAAAAGATTCTGGCGGATATTCCTCTTGATCGTAGGGTGCTGCAGAGGCTGAAGCAGACCTCCTCTGTGGAGCAGTGAAAGCTGACGAAAGCTTAGTATTTTCACTTCTTTTGGGAGGCGACGGTTTGAATTGAGATCTAGATTTCCTGTCAGAAGCCATTGGTTTGGATGGTTCGTCTGATGGAGATATTATAGAATGTATCTGTAACTGAGCCGGCACACAGGGGGCACTAGTTCGTCTACTTCGTGAGGATGCACGGGGTTTCGGATTGTCTGCATAAGAAGTCCTTCTACAAGGCGGAGAGCCTGGTGTTGAAGCATCGGTCCATTCACCACAATCATAGACGGATAACTCCAAATTCATATTCTGTCTAGAAGGTTTTGGTTTCACTACAATGAGTCCGTTATGGTGCTGAGAAAGACGCGGTGGTGTGCCGTGGGCATCACTCTCCGACTGCCTGCGTCGGACGCCTTTCCTGGGCTTTGGTGGCACAGCTGGTGATAACTTTTTAGAGTTTTTCTCGGGGCTAGAAGTTTTGTCAAAAGTATCATTTTGTAATGATAGTGGAGGAGGAAGAGCACTGATACTAGATTCATTTAACCAGTTAACATCTGTATCATCGTCGGGCAATGGTGGCGGTGGTGGTAAAGAGTCTAAGCGGAGAGTATCGGTACGAAAAGCTTCTGGTGGAGGTGGTGGAAGTGTGTCAAAATTCATACAATCTGACCCATTTGGCATTTCAAGTGGTGGAGGTGGTAAAGGCAAATCTTCACGCATCAAAGTAGAAGGTGGTGTGTCCTACAAAACAAACAATAAATTTAAAATGTTATGTATGATGATTATAATTTGTTAATTCTTCATTAGAAATAGTTGACAAATTTTTTTTTTTAAATTTCCCAAAGGTTTAAAAAACAATTGTATTAACTTAGCTTAGTTACTTGTGTAGTAAATTGTAGTTGTAAGTAGTAAGTGTAGTTGTAAGTTTTAGTAACTTGAGTTTGTAAGTTACTTTGTAACTTGTTGTTGTGCGACTCGAAGAATAAATTTAAGTAAGGGACAAAATACAGTTTCATCAAATGAATGAAGGTAAGTATTTTGTTGTAAGATGGTATCTTTAAATATGTAATGAAAAGCTTCTGTCTGATTGCAAATACACTCAAACTAAATGCAACACAATATGTTATTTTGAGTTAAAAACTTTAATTTTTATCTAAAAAAGGTAGAGGAATTCTTTACAATTAAAGTAAAAGCTTCTGAAATTTAATTAAATTCTGTGGGATGCCCTTGTTAAACAAAATCATGAAAAAAACATAGTATTTTATTTTTGATTAACCTCTTCAATTTTTTGAAATATATAAACATTGAGCAGAATTTTTCAGTATAATTCTTGCAGGTCTTTTAAATTTGGGTTCAATTTTTCTGCCCTGTTATAACTTAAACATTTAAATGCAAATTCCATTTTTCAAAAAGCCAGAACTAAAAAATTTGCCGTCAAATAAATCACCTCTACGACTAAGTTAATAGTTTATAACTTATTTATTAACAAGACAAATTATTTATCATTTTAAGCAAACAAGCCGCATAAGTAAATTTGGGAAGTTTTTTAATCTTTTATTATAAATTTTTGCTAAAATTAAAATATACTTCGGACTCATTTAGACAGTATATTAAGGTCTGCATAATTTAGACAGTTTTCATTAATCTCAATAGTCAGCTACAAAGGGTACTGGAGGAAACCTTTACACCAGCCTAATAGATAAAATAAAATAAAAAATTCATACTTGAAAGCTTTGTTTTGGTGATCTTCGAGACAGGCTGCCAAAAGATATGCGATCATCAGTCTTTGATCTTCTCAAACTGAAGCGCCCACATGTTGATCTTCCTAGACTTCCATTTAAGCTACCATTGCAGCTGCTGCCACCACTTCCACTCCCATTGCTCATGCCATCCAAGTGAGATGTTTCTTCACCTGATTGTTTGGCTAGATTACGTGTCGTACTTGTCAAGGGTATTTTAGGAGTCATACTTGGTTTTCTTTTGATTGTACCTGCAAGCAATAAGTGATTTTGAGTTTTCATTTTGGCTATGAAGATACAAGAAATTTTTTAAATGATTACTACAGTCATTTTAAAATGCATTTTTAAGTAGAGATCTTTTTTTTTTTACTACTGGTATTTAATTTTTGTTTTAGCAATTTGCTTACAGTTGGTACAACTGGTAAACCAGAAAAACAGGCTTTAGCATGTTAAGTGCCATAATCAAAAGGCAAAGTAGAGATCTAATTAAAATTACTATTCCAAATGATGCTACCTAGTTGCATGAAAATTTATAAATACCTTGATTAATAATGCTTGAGTCACATGTAAATGCACTGGCACTGGTAAATGCATCTATTGTTTTTTAAAAATATGTAAATGCATCTACTAAAAACACTCATTTTTTATTAAAAAATTAAGTGCACTTATAAATTTTTATAATTATATATTTTTTTATTTTTATATTTTTTTTTAATTTAATTTTTTATGTCATAACTTCTTATTTATTTTTCACAATGAGAATTAAATTTATTATTAACATTCTTTTCATTATATTTTTGATGTGAAATGGGTCAGATAAAGTATTCATGATTGCAACACAAAATTGTTTTAATATTAACAGCATCAAATCAATTTTAGGTATGTGAAGATGGGTTTAAAAAGATGTTAACAGTGAATGATACAAATATATTATCAGTAAGAGTCATCAGAATACTACCTGTTGTTTGATTCAAATTAAAACAAGTGGGTCAGATAAAATATATATGGTTGCAATACAAGTTTGTGTAAACATTAACAGGTATCAAAAGGTTTTAGATACATGAAGATGGGTTTAAATAGATATCAGTAATGAATAATCAATGAATTAGTAAAAATATTAGTAGTTATTCTGTTGTCTATTCAAGTAAAATAATTTTATCTACAGTTTGTTTTTTCTCTAGATTTTTAAAGAAAATCAGAATTTTTTAAATTATTTAAATCAGATCTTGGTAGAGAAATTTTTTTTCTTCTCCATAATAATTATTAAAATTTCATTATCTTTAGCATACAGTGAAGAGTTGTGAAACACCGACTTACAAGGGAAACTAGGGAAGTGTGACTCGCCAATTTTGAAATAAACTAGTGGGATGTATGACTTATAAGGAATAATTTTAGGGGGCAACATTCATTTCGGCCCATAGAAGGTCCTGTGAAAGATAAAAAATAATTCAATATATAGAAAAATCGGTCTTTTATTACTTCAATGCAGATTATTAGTTATTGTAATTGTCTCATGCTCCAATTAATTATTAATTAATTGGTTAATTAATTGATTTGCTTATTAACAAATTAATTAGCAAATTAAGTATTTGATCATTAATTAATTAATTACTAATTAATTAATTATTAATTAATTGATTTGTAATTACATACTCCAATTAATTTGGAAAAATTTTCAGAGAAAAAAAATTCTAAAAATTTGATGTCAATTTTTCTTAAAATTAACTTAACAGGTTTTTCTGAAAAACAACAGACATATAAAATTTTCGAAATCCATTTTGACAATAAATATGCATTATATAGTACGTGAAAGTACCACAAAATTAATTGGAGTATGAGATAATTACAATAACTAATGATCTGCATTGAAGTAATAAAATACCGATTTTTCTGTATTGAATTATTTTTTATCTCTCACAGGACTTTCTATGGGCCGAAACGAATGTTGCCCCCTAAAATTATTCCTCATAAGGCATACATCCCACTAGTTTATTTCAAAATTGGCGAGTCACACTTCCCTAGTTTCCCTTGTTAGTGAAAATCTGTACTTTTATGATCAGATAAGTCATTTGGACAATAAATATTTGTTCTTGTATATATTTTGATCATAGCATGATGCTTTTGTTTACACTCAACATCTTATGATATAAATTTCTTGTATAAATGATACATTTTAAAAAAGATGCAATTTTTTTAAAATTGTCTTCATTGTTTCAAATTCTATATTGTCTTAATTCCATGAAAGAGATTTAGAAATGTAAAATTAGAGATGTCTAAAATAACAGTTACTAACAAAATAGTACAAATACACATGCCTAGAAATGCTAAATATCGAGTCCTAACTAACTCATTAGTTAAAAAAACTTTATCTGATGAGCATTTTAATTTTTTTACAAATGAGCTTTCAAATTTTTGATTACGCAAATGTACTCTTTGATTATCCAGATTGCAAATTAAGTTCTGTGCAACCTCTTAAATTCTTCACAAACCAAAAAACATGCTACTTATGATGCCTTTTAATGTCATAATAAATTTCTAAGTTTATAACGGGAGTATAAAAAAAAAACGATTTTGTAAACTTTTTGTCCACATCTAATTTTTTCTAAACATCACAATTATATTTCATGTATGATTCAACTTTGTATGCAACATACTATACTGCTACTTTAATTGGTGGTGATACACTTCAGAAAATAGTTATAACTTAGTAAATAGTAGCCGTAGCAGTAGAAAATATAGATTAGTAATGGCTTAGAAAATAGTAATAGTAATGAAAGAAACAAAAAGTTAAAAGATTAAGTTTATTCTAATTCAGACAATCTTAAAAAATATAGCCATGCATTTTCTCTATATATAATTTTTCAATTCAAGCATCTATCATATCACAGTTGTTTCTTTAACGAAAGCTGATTCAATTACCCATTGGGAAATCCGTATCAAACACTAAATGATCAGTTGTGGGTGTGCCACTTGATCTTTCAGATGGGCAACCACTGCTGCTGCTGGCGTTTGATTTACTAGATTTGCTAGACTTGATGGAGTCTTGGCGGCTGATCACCCGAAGCTTATGGAATCTCTCTAAAGTAGTGGGCAGCTCATCCTCTAGTTGATCAATGTCTGTGTTCTTCTCTGATGTCTGAGAATTGTAGCCAGAACTGTCTGTTATGTCAGAGTTTGCAGCTGTGCTCTTGGCAACAGAAGTGATGGAAAAACTTCTCGCATTTGCCAAATTCTCTAGATCTTCTTCAGCCATCTCTCTCAAAAGCATGTCGTAGTTTTCTTTCAGTTGAAGACCATACTGCAAAGTTAAAATCAGTCATAAATATATATGCCCAATTACAAATTAATGTGTATAGTTTGTTTTTATTAAGATTGCTTAAATGAAAAATGGACATGTGTGAATCAAGTACACTTCCTACACTTTCTTTTAATAAAAACAAATCTGCAAGATTTGAGTCAGTAAAATCAGATAAAACAATTTGTATCAAAATTTGTTAGAAACTTTCTCAGATATTTGCATCAGTAGTTTAAAATTTCTCTGTTCTTGACAAAAAAATTATTTTTTTTCCAGTTGGAGATTTTAAAATTAATTTCGAATGATATCAAGCCGTTAATCAATCAAAATCAAGTAATGATTAAACTGAAACAAATTCTTTTAATAGAAATTTTTCTATAAAATTTTTTTTAAGACACTACATATCATAAAACTAATATCTACAGATGCTTAGGATTTACAACAAAATACTTACTTTAGCAATACGAATACCCATCACCCACTGTTTAAGAGATTTTTCATCTTCTGCACACATGTATTTGATGTATTTTGAAGATTTTGTCTGTATTTGCGGATGCTGAAAAAAAAATATAGAAAATATCAGTACTATGCATATCATAGTCATCATATCATAGTATTAAATACATTCAAATTTTAAACTTAAATAATATTTACACATAAATATTGTTCTGACAATATGAACAAAAATATTTTAAATGTAAATATTTTTTTCAGCAAGTTTTGCTTAAAATATTAATAAGAAACAAATTTTGTAACACAATTACATAGTTGTTTCAGTTAAACGTATAAAAGTCTGGTTAAAATGTTAGTTTAAGAAAAATTCACATAGCACTGTTTTAAAGGCATAAATATTCTCTTGCAATTTAACAAAACAATTAATTTTAAACAGCTTACGAAAATCTTAACGCCTATATGAAGATATCAAATAAATTTAACAATATTGTCTCAATTCCTTAATAGTTTCATTCATAATCAGCTTTAGTGTATTTTCAATTAATTTGTCGTAATTGAAAAAAATTTAATATGTTAAGTGACTATTTTTTAAAACACTCAGATTCTGAATGGATGTGGTCTACTGTTAGTTAAGACTATTCTACCCATTTTAATTTATTCTAAAAAGTTTTGAAATAATTCTGTTTTTTTAAGGTAAAAAATTGTATTTTATAAATATTTAGTGCTCCACCCTCCCAAAAAAGGTGAACAGTTTAAAATAAAATGCAAAGTAGATATTTTTCTAACCAAACTTCAAATTTAGGTACTAAGGTTTCAGATGGTGCTGTTAACAGAGGAAAACTAAAACAATGCTTTCAAAATTATAGTTTGCAGCAATAACATTTTGCTGCTTGAGGATAAATTTAACAGATGCCTGAACAAATATTTCATTTGGAATAGTATGACATGCAGCAGAAGAAAACATTTTGATTATTTTTCCAATCAACAACATCAGTTGACACATTTTGTAAATATTTTTGAAATTTTAAAATAGAACAAAGCAGACCATATATAGCTTTCCATTTTTTTAAAAATAGATTTTTCAAACGTTTGGGATCCTTGGTAGTTTTCTTATGAGTCTATTCATTTTAAAGTTAAACTTAGTTTCAAGTTCATGAAAAAGTGACTTTATTCATACACTAAGTTCTTAATTTAGACTTAACTTTCTACAATCATTGAAAAATGTGCTGTCTCTTTATGTGTAATTTTAAGAAATTTGAATGAAATTGATTATATAAATATTTTTATTTTTACTCAGGGCATGATTTGTGGAAGAAACGAATAACCACATCTATTATGTAGAAAATTTAAAGATAAAGCATTTTTTTATTTAAAGAGCACGATAATTTTTTAAGAGTTTAATGTTTGAGGTAATAGTGTTAGCAGCTGATATATATAATTATTTTTAAAAAAAATTGCTTTTAAACACTTCACCTCACATTGTTGTGGGTTGTTACTATTCTTTCAAACCCTTTACTGTGTTAAAAATATAGAACATCACTTTTTCTGAATTGAGCTACTGCAGAGAGTTTCAATTTCTAATTAGTAAAAATGAGGCAAAGACAAACTCAAAAAACATCTTATTTTGAAAATAAAAAAAAACTTTCTGAAAGGAATTTTCTAAAAGGTTTTCTGAAAATGCCAAAAAATATATTTGTAGTTAGGTATATAATTATATTTTGAATTGTGATAAAAGTGTGAAACATTTGTTTATACAAAGTTTGTTACACAAAGAATAATGAGGTAGTATATATGTTTTTAGTTATAACCCTGATGTCTTTAAAACATATTTTGTGTATAATAATTATAAATTAAATAATTAAAAATTTTTATTTATAAATAAAATTGTAATAATTTTCCATTTAAATTTATATGGGATGCATTTTTGACTAAAAGATTATTAACTGTGAATCCTTACTTTAATAGCAAATCCATAATCTGTGGGAGACTTGTATTTTTTCTTCCATCCAAACCCTAAGTAAACATTGTTCATGTCAAAGGTTGTCAGGCAAAGTAAATCTTTCGAGAGCTAAAAAAGAAGGAAAGAAAAAAATTACATCTTTCACAAACCTAGCTTATACATATCTTACATTCAAGAAAAGTAGTATTTTTCTTTCAATCAAATGTGTACATACTTTTGATTTTCCTTTAGGACAATAATAAAGCCCAGATGCTCGTAAAACAAAGAAATGTTTCTTCCAAGCTTTCTTTCCTTCACTTTTTAAATAAAGAGAACCTTCTACTTCAGGAACTCCAATGTTTGACATAGAAAAATATTCCTAAAATGTTGAAATAACAATTTAGAAAAGCATTCAATCATAATGATTAACTGCCAGAATTCAATGCATAATATATCAGTCGATTGCCAAAGTTTGTGCTCCATTTAAAAGTTAACATCAAATGAAATACAAAATATTTTCATAAAAAATGTTTTTTTTTTCTTCCATCAATTACGTTTCGAAGCCAAAAAAAAAAAAGATTTTGATTTCTTCCATGAAAAAGGTTTTTTTTTTACCATTAAAATTATTTTATAGTGAACAGAAAATTTGAAATTCTGAATGGACAAGGTTAGGCAAATCTGGCAGATATTTTCTTTTAACGACCTTACTTTTGCCGTTTTTGTGAGAAAAAAATGGGCTTTTTTTCATTTATGATATGTTGACATTTTGTTTGAATAAAAAAATTACAGCTTAATACATGACCCTCAACATTTTGTTTATGGTTGGTCACATATTTCTGCATTCTTACTAATGCTCGTAACATTTATAATTTTTTTAAATTTATTTTAAGCAGTTTGGATCCAGTCTGAGTTATAGCAATCCTCTATCATATGAATATTTAAATATAGAAATGTTCAGAATAGTTTAAAAACTATGTCGAGATTATTATAACGAAAACATTTCCATGAGAGCATTGCAATCACCACATTATGAATACCAACATATTAACGCAAATCAAGATTAGTTAGAAATTGAAATTTCCATTTAAGTTTTTTTTTTTTTTTACTATTAAACAATGTAAGGAAAGTCTTAAAATATCCTTACATTAATGGGCAGATATTTGAAAGATTCTAGAATAAATATTCACATTGGTTTAATAAAAACTCTGTGTAAATTTAATAGTGGATCTTGTTTTGATTAGAATATATTAACTATTACATTAATTAAAGAGTTGTATTATTTTTTTTAAAAAAAAAACTTCTAAAATCAAAATTATAAATCATTAAAATGCCTTTTTATTAAAGGAAAAAAAAACTAAACTATTATGAAAAATTGACTAACTTTCAAGATAAAAATTAGTAAATATAAAAATTGTAACGGAGAATTTGTGCAAAGCAAAGTTAATATAATGGGGTATTTCATAAAACTTAAGACTATTTACTTTTATTTTTTATTCCTTTATTTTATTAAAATATATTTTTTTTACAAGGGCATATATTTTAGATGTTTTAACAGAATTTTTTCTTGGTCTATAGTTTATTGGTTTTGTTTAGTAAGTTTCTGATACTTAGTTTATCTAACAATATTTTAAAATTATGCAAGAAATCTTATTAACTTACATCTAACAGGCAAGTTTTCGCATCATCGTCTAATTCTACATTCTTTTCTGAAGAGCTACACCCTAAGAGGTAATTCTGTAAAATAAAAATGTAAAAGAGATGTTTAAATACGGATAATATTTTGTGAATACAAATGAAGGAAAACAAAAATGATTAGTAAGAAATATATTATAGTTATAAAATTTTTTTAATGATAAATAAAAATTTTAATAAAAGGACTTAAAATGTTTCAAAATTTTTTAAATAAAATTTTAAGTAAATGAGATATTTAGAAAAAAAAAATTATAAGGCTATTTATAATAACATTCAGGAATTCGTTATTCAAATAAAAAAAATTCCTTAAACAGCAGAATTTTAATAGTTTTTTGTTACAAATAGTAACTAATGAAACAAAAAAAATCTTTTAAATTATTATGAAAAACTTGCTTTAATCTTGATTGTAGAAAAGAAGGGGAAAAAAGCAGGATGCAGTAAATCGTACTTTTCAATTCTTTGATTTTCGTTTTTCTTTGATTTTTTTTAAATAATTAGTAATTTTGGGGACATCAAGTATATATTAATAAAAACATCGATAATACATTAGTAAAAATTGAAAAAACATGACAATCAAAGCTGACGTTATCAGGGGGTACCAGCTAGTACCCCCTGATGACGTCAGCTTCAATTGTCATGTTTTTTCAACTTTTACTAATTTTCTTCATTGTCTCATTTGTTTAATGCCTCTTTGTTCTCTTTGCTGCTAAGTGCATTTTTTCCATTTGGATGTTTTATTTTTATTAATTTTTTGCATTAATATTTGAATTCTTTTCTTTATCGATAATACATTGTTTCTTTCTCGTATTTATGACCTTATATAACAAATCTTATAAAAACTGAAATGAATAGTTTAGTGGAAGGATATGTTAAGTAAATGTTTAAAAAATTAGATATAGAAACATATTTATAAAACACATTTTCCATTAAAACGGTCTTATTTAAAGACCTGAAACTTTATAATAAAGCCATTTAACTAGAATAAATTATTACTTTATACTTATGATTGGTTCAAACTTGATTTTTAAACTAATGAAGAGTTTTCAAACGATTTCTTTGCATACTCTTCCACCACTAAGTATTAATGTATTTAAAGTAAACAAACCTGTGGATTCAAAAAGAGATCATATTTTTCTTTTCTTTCAAGAAAAAACAGACGATTACAAGAGTCTCTTGTCCATAAGAGCAAATTTTCAACCACATGTTCATGATCTTCATAAACCCGCTCTAAAATAATAATAAAATAAATTTTAAGCATATATTTTTTTTACATTAAAAAGAGTTATTTTGTGATCCTTCCGGAGTTTTTGGAAAATATTAAACTTATATTACTTATGCTTTTAAAAAATACGAGTTTATAGCCAGTGAGTTCGTGAAAGTAAAAAAAATATATGGAAGTTCTGGACCATACATTAAATATTATTCACTAAAAATATTATAACTATGATTTGGAAAGTCAAGTATTAGGAGAATAAAAAGTGATAAATAAAATTTAGATAGTTTGGTGTGGTACTCTTTGTGAATTACTTCTATCAAATCAAATTCATTTCTATTTCTTTCCTTGATAAATTTCATGGAACAAAGTATAATGCATAGCAATGAACATAATAAATTTCTGCTTGGTAACTTAAAAAAAAGAAGAAGAAAAACATATCAATAGGTACATTTATGTTTATGATATGACTTTGATTGCATGTAAATGTTTTTCTGTGCAATCTTGATATTCCTGAGAGTTTCACCTTGCTTGTGCTTCCTGATGAAAGTTATAATCTTTCATTCATTAGTATTGATTCATGGGTTCCAGTTTTTATTTTCACACTGTGCATTATATACCAAATGACTGAATAATTAACAGATATATCAAATAATTGTTTAGGATTAATTTTTCCAAACAGAAATTTGTCCTACTATGAACTGATCGGTTTCAAGTGAATCACAGAAGTCAAGCACCACTACCAGTGAGCGGGTGGGTGACCGCTTTGATCAGCCTGCGAAAGTATCGAGGGTGTGAGGCGTCGGTCCTCTTTAAACTGTTCTACCCTAAAGGGCTCGACTTCGTGCTCAGTTTCCTAGGCGGGCATCCTGTCTGCAAAGGATCAAAATTGTTACATGTCTTCGGATCATCCTCAGGGATGTTTCCTAGACCTATCGACAATAGTCGATTGTGCAGCTTTAGCGTGACGTAAATAAAGTAATAATACTACACTAACAGAGTTTTTTTTTAAATTATAATTAATTAATAAATATTCGAAATGCCGGCCAGGTGGCCGAGTGGTTAGCTTGTCTGACTGCGGAGCCAATGGCCGCGGGTTCGAATCCCGCTCTGGGCATGGATGTTTCNTCTACCCTAAAGGGCTCGACTTCGTGCTCAGTTTCCTAGGCGGGCATCCTGTCTGCAAAGGATCAAAATTGTTACATGTCTTCGGATCATCCTCAGGTATGTTTCCTAGACCTATCGACAATAGTCGATTGTGCAGCTTTAGCTTGACGTAAATAAAGTAATAATACTACACTAACAGAGTTTTTTTTGAAAATTATAATTAATTAATAAATATTTGAAATAGATCATAAAAGCATACCTATATATAACTCTGGTATCTGTTCCACCAGTGCCCATTTAGGATCCATGGAAACATGGTTCTTTTCTACTAGCAGTTTGCAAACATGGCCCACTGTCATGCGCTCGTCTATAAGTAGACTCTTAGCGCTGTTATCAGCACTAAATGCTTTTATAAACAGCTGAAAACGAATAATAAAATATATTATAAGTAATGTAAAATGAATTAAAAATTAAGAGACACAATTGGTAATTAAATAATTTTACTTAGTCTTTATTTATTCTAAGTATTTCAAACAGGTTTTAAACATTAAGTTTCTCTGTCTCTTTTTTTTTTTTTTTTTTTTTTTTTTTTTTTTTTTTTTTTACAACAAGCATTTTTTAAATTTTGTCATCGGTTTGAAAACTTTAAACACAAGAAATTTAAGTTCCAAATTAATGTTATAAATAAATTTTAAGGTAGCAGTTTAAACATATATTTTGCCTTGTATTCAAATCATGTAAAATTACTTTTAATACTTATAAAACGAAGTTACATATGAACTAAATTAATGTGCAAAAATATTGTACACATTTAGAAAATTCTTGTGCTGCGATTGTGTAAATCAACACATCTTGGTTTCGAAACGTAAAATATTAAAACTATTCAATTTTTAAAGTTATTTGTAATTGCTGTTCAAAGTAATTTGAATTATTTTTCAAAATATATGTAGTTAGCACATATCATTCAATAATAATTTTAGTCAAAAATCAATTAAAAGCAAGAATATTGCACACATGAATATTAGTTGTGAAGCTGTTAGGTAATTAGCAAACAAATTATTTAAAGAAAAATTAAAAAATTTAAAGAAAAGTAATTTGAATTATTTTTCAAAATATATGTAGTTAGCACATATCATTCAATAATAATTTTAGTCAAAAATCAATTAAAAGCAAGAATATTGCACACATGAATATTAGTTGTGAAGCTGTGAGGTAATTAGCAAAAAATTATTTAAAGAAAAATTTACCTTTTTAATACTTGCTTCTTTCATCTTTTCCAAAGCTATTTTAATTTTTTCAGCTTTTAAGCGAGCAGCTTGTTCAACCTGTAAAAGTAAAATACTCATCATAAATTAATTGGTCATTGTTTACATAAATATGTTTTTTTAAATATAATTTTAACATTTTGATTAGGATCTATTCGATGTTAACTGGTCACGATTATTCCGATTTCATACGCACCATTCTCTTGTTTTCTTTTAGTACTGGATATACTGAATCATGCTTTATAATGTTCATATCGAATCATGTTTTATAATGAGCTTTCAAAAATTTTCCATTCGCTTTTATTTTAAATAAATAATTCATATCTTCACATTTAACTCAAATCTAGAAAACATGTTTGAATTTTTGAAGAAAAAAAAAAAGAAAAGTTTTATGATAGGATTTCTGAAATTATTTTTTCTGGCACATGAAAATAATGATATAATTAATGATGTGAACTTCATTTATTGTGTAAAAAAATTGCCGTAGTTGCATAATCATTACCGCTTTCATAGCGCTGTTTTTTTATTGTACCATTGAATTTTGAACTTTGCAACATTTATCTTTGCAGAAAGGTTGCATTCGCAGTGTTTTAATTTTTTCGAAAATAGTGACTGAATAATAAGAGTATTTAACATGTAAAGGCTGATTTACAAATTAGTAAAATATTTTTTTAAATAATAATATAATTATTTATGTAAATTATAATTTAAACGGTAAAATATTTTTATTAGTAAAATATTTAAAAATGGGACACAATTCAAATATAAATTCGTGTCTCACGAACATAATAAACGTAATTAACATTAAAACCCTGTATTTTAAATCACATTTTTATTTTCTTTACCAACTTCGAAATAATAAAAATAAAATACAGCTTTATCCCCTCTCCCATCAATAAGAAATTATTTTTTTATTTTCAAAAATGTACTGAAGGTGCTTTAGCAGAAGATCCTATAATTAGACAAAAGGGGATTACCTGAGTGGGGGAGGAGGCGAGAGACATACAGCTGCTTTGCGAGGACATGCTTCTACTGGAGTGTCCTCCTTCACCCCTTACCCCTCCTGAGGATGCTGAAGATTCGGAGGATAACATGGAGACGTTGTCGGAGAAGGCAGAATCATTGTCAGGGCTTTCTGTTCTAAGACTCAAGTCACTTTTTTGAGCTCGAAGGAACTCTTCCGAATACATATCCACCTGAACCATTAAAAAAAATAAATGTATTTTAAACATTACTCAAACATAAAGGTTTGCTTACGTAAAACAATCCTTTTATCGAAATCAACATTTATGTTCTGAGCTTAGAATTGCGCGAGTTCTTAATATTTTATTTCGCGAACTTTAAACATAAGCAAGTTAATTTTTGTAATCAAATCTTAAAAGAAATAGGCAGTCAAAAAGTTATTTAATTTATGATTTATTCTGTAAATAACAGTGGGGAAGCAATATTTTGTTGCAAATAATTGATATCGCCTAATTCGGGTATGGGGATTTCAAATCTGAAATTAGCTTTGCTTTTAAAGCTACAGATTTTTTTTAAATGGAATTTTTAGACTAATTTTGTCGAATGTTAAAGTTTAAAAACGTTATACATAAAAGAGGGCGCATAAATGTTGCGACACACTTTTAGAGGAATTAGGGCACATCATCACAATTAAAACTGCATAGATACCCATGCGCGGAAAAGGTTCTGGGAGGCGGTTCGGGGTACCTTCCTATTCTGATCTGTTCAGAAGCATACAAAAAGAAAGTTCATAATAGGGAAGCGCTCTTAGTGGCGTATGATGACAGTTCCGGGCATGCGTTCGTAAACAATTTTAATCCTGATGGTGTGCCCCTAACTTCTCTTGAAGGCGATCGCAACATTCATGCAATCCCCTGTCATATATAAAGTTTTTAAACTTGTACATTTTAACAAAAATTAGACTAAAAATATCTTTACAAAAATGAGTTTGGAAAGAGAAACCGATTGCAGATTTGAAATCAGCGATACAAAAAATATCTAAGATCTGATAAGAAAAGAAATTTTTCTTACGGATCAGAAAAATGTTTTTGAAAAAAGTTTCCCAATATAATGATTATGATAGGGTTAAATTTTTTATTAATCAAAAGATGATTAAATTGGTAAAAGCATGCTTGAAATAAGAATCCACTGGTTTATAATATAATAATACTAGGCTGAGAGATCAGCATATTAATTTAACCTCATTCCTAATACAAGCGAATGTAGCCATGCAACATGAAGTGAGGCACAAGTGATATGTCTCATAAACTGACGTACTATGGTTTCGGTTTGATAATGAAGAACATTCTTCGTTGTCAAAATTACTTCTTTGTGCTTTCTTTCGAAAACTAAACATTGCTTTCTATCGATATTATCAAGCAATTAGATTGACAAAATGTTTATTTATAGGGTAAAAACTCTGCTAACTGCTCCTAGTTTAAAATATAAGTAACTAAAAGAAGAAAAAAAAAAGGGGGGGTCTCAAATTGAATCTGATCAAATATTTGATACAATGATGAATAATTTAAGTCAATTTTTCAAAATATAATATGTAGTTAGTAGGCGTTTTTCAATAAGTGCAAAGTAAGACAAATTACCTGTAGACCTCCAATTTCAAATTTAGGTCTTGTTCCACCCCCTGAATTGGACCTGCTGTGACCAGAGCTAATTTTGGACTCTATCTGATTCCTAGTGTTGCTCTGACTGGGAACATTACCGCTCGGCTGTCTGGAATTGGCCCACGCGTTGCTTAAGGCTTGATTGGCAGACTGGCTCTTAGGCATCATTTCTCGATCCAGCTTGTCTTCCAAAGCACATAATTCGCCTAAAATGGCGTCTAGCTCCACGTCTTGGCTATCTGTTTAGGAAGAAGGTTAGAATAAATTAGCTAAGGAGAAGCGATACCCGAGTGAAAAAGTATCATTTTTTGGTAATAGGGAAAAAAATTTACCTTCCATATTGGCCATTGAAAATCGGTATGTGTCCATTCTTGGGGTTGGAATAGTTAACTTTTGAGAACATAATTTGCTGCCGCTGGGAACATTTTCAAGACCCTGGAATAAAAAGTACAATTTAGTTATCTTTGCAATTATGGAAAACTAGATAAGGGGGAAAAAGATTAGTAAAATGTAAATATAGATAAAAACAAATCCACTATCGATCATAGTTTAAATATCAACCAAATATTTTTAAAGCATAATAATCGTGAGAAGTAATTCTAGATTGGAAACTGTATTAATATTATTTTTAATATTTAAGGTTGCATTGCCTGTCTTTTAACATAAACCTAAACTTCTTTTGAAATGAATCGTTTTTAAATTATAGAAGTAACTAGTTATTGTATTATTTTGCATAAAATTTGACGTGATAAGCAATGTTGATAAGATCTGAAATTTACTTGGAGTCACCAGGAATGAATAGTGCAGGTACGATATCCGGGTTTCGGAAAGACCCAAAACTGAAGCACCAATTGATTGCAGTATACAAGAACAATTGATAAATTCTCCACAATATTAACCTGATTTGATTCACAACCTTATAATTAATGATTTTCATAAGTTTCTTGGTCTCTTCGTGACTTGGAGCAACGGCAAATGATTTCAAAAGGCTTAAATTCTCTTACAATTCCCACGTTTAATACAAGGTGGTTCAAAATTATTGCGCACATTTCATGTTTAAAATTAAATTAAACAAATTGAAATGCGTGTATGTTCATTGTTTTATTGGTAAAACAACAAAAGCCATTAGCCACATTTAAACATGAAATGCTGACAATAATTTAGGATTATCATGTATTATAACACCACATTAAACTGACCAAAAACACTAAAATTAACGGTATTCTGTTACATATTCTAGTATTAATCATTACGAAGATTTGTTTGCATTTACGCTATTTGATGGAAAAGAATAAATTTTGTATTGATTCATCTGTTTAATGACCTTCAAAAGCATTAAACTTAAGGAGATGTGATTTTTTTTATAAGAATTATCAACTTTTCAAGTAAATTTATTGATGGTATATTAAGTATAAACAAAGGCATTTATTTTTATACTATTCTATACATTATGAACTAATAAAATAATTATAATAAAACAATTCTATGAAACTGAATTTGGCAGTTTCAAAGGTTCAAAACATTGCTCAAAATAATTTTTCTCTACAGAAAAAAAACTAAACTTAACCAAAAAATAACAGATATTAATCAATTCACCCCTATAATTTAAAAGAAATTCAAAACGGTGTTTAATTAAAAAAAATGCTAGTAATACTAAATCTATTGCAGTTAAATTTTATACAAACGTAAATAAATACCATAACTAATTTCCCGTTTAAATACTTCCTTTTTTGAAAAAATAACCACTTAAAATTGTTTTGTAAATGACAGAATGCATTATCGAATTTCAAGAACATTTAATTAACTAACGAACTTTCCGAAAAAAAGGGATAATTAACCTTTTTTTTTTAAAATACCTACATTTTTCAAAAAATATCACTTACTTTTTGAAATGACAAAATGAATTATCGAATTTCTTAAAAAAGACTCACCTCCTCGGTTCAAAAAAAGCTATAATTAATTTCTATTTAAATATTCACTTATTAATTTTCTTTAAAAAAAAATTATTATTCATGAGATACTTTGCATGCATAGCTTGAAACTCCAAATGCTAAATAAAAAAGTTCTTTTCAAACAAAATAAGTAAATAAAATATTTAAGAAACAAAAGAGGACGATAAAAAGATTCTTGGATTGGAGGGAAACATTTTTCTGGATGCTTTTAAAAGCCCGAAGATAAGGCAAGAAAAAGCTTTATCGCGTTCAATAACAATGACAGGGAACCCGTAAATGGATTTTCGAATCTTCTGCATTTCCCCCCACACATTCTGTTTCGACAATTTCTATCTAAAATCCATCTACCAGAGAAGAGCATTATTTGAGATTTTCTGATGCTACTAGGCTCTACAATCATTTATGATATTTCACTTTTTTTTTCGTTTTTATTATTCGTTTTACGGATGTAGTATTGATCGAGGAATGACGTGAGCAAGAAGTTTTAAGTTTGTTTGTGTGTGGAAATATTCAAAATAGAAAGAAAAAAAAAGAAACCAAAATAAATAGAAGACGAAAACCGGAAGTAAATGTTGACTTTTTTCATTCATGTTTCTCGTTTAGAATTCTGAAAATAACTTTTGAGGTAAAGAGTGGATTTATCTTGCTTTGCCACCCTTCCTTTTACATTATATATATATATATATATGTATATATGCATTATATNCTCTTCATAATATTGTCTAGTTTTTTCAGTCATCTAGTAAAAATTACGGTCGTCATCCAAGAATTCTTGTTGTCACCCTTTTCTGTATCATTCATGTTGGCAAATTCCACCCTTTTTTAAAATACACAAGAAAAAATAAAAAATTAAATAAACGTGAATAAAATCTAAAAACCGACGTATAACCGATTCTGTGCGTCGTATAAACGATATATTTTTACATTAAAATGAATAGGAATGATTTGGGAACACACTAAAACGTCGTATAAATGTAAACGTCGTATAAGTGATCGTCGTATAAACGATGCTCCACTGTATATATATATATATGTTCAAAATGAAAATTACAGAACAATGAAAAAAGGGGGAGAGAGAAAAATAATAAAAAAATAAAAACAACAAGAAACGGGAAGAAAAAAAGGGAGAAAAAAATTTATAAAAATCTGGAAAATAAAAAATATAATCTTTTCATCAGCTCACACGATTATATCCACAAAAAGGAGTGCTTTCTAACATTGTATCAATATAGCCAAAGCAAAATATATCAATACAATAGAGTGAGGACCCCCTTTTTTCATTGTTCTATATTTTTTCCATGTTTTCTCTACATTTTGAACTTATTTAATGAGTTCTATTTACTTGCAGATTATGAGCAGTAAATAAAACTTATTGCTTTTCCTGATTTTCTTCATGTTTTTTTAATTTTTTTTCCTTTTGTATTTATTGAAAGAGGAATTTTAAAACCTCTTTGGCAGCTGGTAGATGAAACTTGAACCTACTTTTAAAAATCGCCTTTCAACTACTTCATTTTCACAGACAATCAAATAGATTTTGAAATGTGTCATTATTCTATTCATAACATTTCTAATGCAATTGAATGAGAAATCATTTTAGATTAATAAAATAGTTAAATAAATAAAAATCAATAGCGGTTTTCGCAGAAATAATTGTTTCAACACTTTTCATTCTATTCTCGACTAACAAGGATATTTTATCAAAGATAAGTTCATGACCTTCGTTTTGACGCATTTTTTTTTTCAATGGAGGAAAAAACGTATTTTGTTTGGATTCGATTGAGAATCCGATTGTTATAGTTTACTTCTCCTTCTAGTAAGTGCGCATGCAGGGAAAATACATTTACAGAGAAAAATTCCAATGGGTGTTGAAAGGAAAAAATCATTTTGTAGAAAAATATCGTTTAAAATTATTTATTTAAAAGCTCTAAAAATTTATATAAACATTTAATTAATTTTTGTAAAATTATAATTTTGAAGTAATTTAATGTAAACATTTCAATTTAATTAAAACAGTTAATAAACTAGTAAACAGCTAGTAAAAAAATTTTTTTTTTAATATTTGCTGATCTATCACATGGTAATGAATAATAAATAAAGAGAATTTAATTATTTACATTTTAATAATTATTATTAGAGAAAGATTTTTGTAACTAAATATATGATTCAGAGAAAAATAATGAATATTTTTTAAAAAAAGAAGTATAAACTTTTAAATTTTCGTGACGATTAATTAAGGTTTTCAAAGAAGAAAAATATATAGATGTATATAAGCCTAAACGTATTAGCTTGTTTCAAATTAATTTATACATTATTTCTATTTACATAATTCATTCGTAATTATTTATATGGAAGTTAATAAATTTGTAATCATTTCATGAAACTAAACAAATCTGAATCATTCGAAAACAATTATAATTGTGATAATTTGGGCATATTAATAGCAATTGAACTCTGTGCGTATTTGAAGATTAAAAAAAAAAAGAATTTTTTTTACAAGTTTTCTTTTATATTTATTTGTTCTAGAAACTTTCAAAATTTGAATGGCTATAAAGTATTTTTTTTTTATATATATTATCACTTAAATTGGATGGTTCTCTTAGTTCTAATAATTACAAACAGATAGTAGATAATTCTAATAGTCCTTATAAACTACAAATAGAATTCAGTACAAAAATCTTTTTAAATTATTATCCCACACAGTTTCACATAACTAATGTTTTGATTCATTAATTTTTTTTAAAAAAACAACACATATACACAAAATTATTTTTCAAAAATAAAAGCTTCCAATTTTCTGGAAATACAGAGCAAAAACTAGCAAGAAAGCTTTCCTTCTTTTCTCCCCTTCTTTTATAGTTTGCTTGATTAGGCTGCATAGTTTTACATTTCAGACAAAAGTTTCTTTATATTGATTGGCAACGCAAACATCTGAAGTAAAACGATTCTTTGTTGTTTCGTAGTTCATTATTCTCTGCTGAATTCACACGCATCTTACATTTTTGTTCGCTTTTTTCTTTTAAAGGGGGAAAAAAACTTTCTTTGTGAAACGGAATAATAACACAAAGTTACTGATTCAGAATTTCTAACACAAATTCTTCTGTTTACAAAGAAACCTAATTATGTAAATCACGAAGGCAGTGAAATCTACATTTGATACGAATTAGTTTGAAGTTACAAAACTAGCACCTCACGAATTACTAAGAAAGGCTTATTTCCTTTTTTTTTTCTTTTTCAGAATCATTTCTTCAGATTTTTTTTCAAACTTATATATTTATCGCAACTTGTAAAAAAACTATTCATAAATTGCAATCCATATTAGTAGATATTTTCCCGACTCATTATTATTCTACTATTAATCTATTTTCAGACTTAATAGGAAAGCGATTTTTTGATGAATTATTTTTAATCTAATAATTATATGTTTACTATAAAAGATTACCAAGATCTGCGAATAAATTTCATGAGAAATTAAACAGGCTTTGT